TACAGACTATTGTGGACATGCATTTCGGTGGATAGGGAATATTACATAACTACTCACAAGCTCTTAATGGTGTAATATGTCTTTGGAGAAATCATGTGTTAATTGACTTACATGAACTCACTGATCAAAGCATCACTTGCAGCATTATCTGTTATACCAGGAAATTTTATTTTTTAGCCACATATGGGAGTAACGATGGCATCCAAAGAAGGAAATTGTGGTTACATCTGACTCAACGTCATAGTATTATTCAGGACAATCCTTGGCTACTAGCTAGAGATTTCAATATTATTGTGCACCCTAAGGAAAGCTCGGACTACAATGGCACTCAAGTCGCTAGTTCAGAAATGAAAGAATTCCATAATTGTTTACAGCAAGAGGAGCTGTTTGATCATATCTTTACTGGACCTTTGTTCACTTGGTCGAACCACCAGTTGGAAGATCCTTTAGCACGAAAGTTGTACGGAGTCCTTATCAATGGTGCATGGCTTTCAACGTATGATCAGTCACACGTGGAGTATTTGGTTTCTGAAGTTTCCGATCATTGTGCTGCCATCATAAAGCTAAACATGATAGCCCATTCTCCCCCTAAACCATTTAAATTCTTCAATTACTGGACCAAGAACCCATAGTTCATTAAAATTGTTGAAAACTCATGGCAAGACCCAGAATATGGTAACCCAATGCTTATATTGCACAAAAAGTTAAAACGGTTGAAGGTGGAGTTGAAGAAGTTTAACCTATCGTGCTACGGGAACCTGTCTGGAAGAGTGCAAGACAAAAGGAAGGAATTGGAAATAGCCCAGGCTACGATTCTGACATAAGCACCAACAACAGATCTGGTTAAGCATTAAAGAGCAATCTACTCAGAGCATAAAGCACTACAGGAAGCTGAGGAGAGCTTTTATGGATAGAAATCTAGAATACAATGGATTCAGGAAGGGGACCAAAACACTAAGTTCTTTCATAAGATGGTGGAAGCTAAGCGTAAAAAGAGCACAATCAGAGTACTAATGGATGTTGAAGGGAAGAGACTAGATACCTTTGACCAGATTGCATATGAAGCTGTCTCGTTCTTTCAGAAGTTACTTGGAATAGCTGATCGAGGAGTTACAGGCCGCTCAGAAGGTTTTTTAACAGAATTATTGCAAGTATCATTATCTGATGAACTACAGCCTACACTGGTAAAACCAGTATCCATATAAGAGATCAAAGATACTATGTTTTGACTCAATAGTGAGAAAGCTCCAAGGCCGGATGGATTTTAAACAAACATGGACCATAGTGGGAGAGGATGTATATAGGGCTGTCATACATTTTTTCAACACTGGTAGCCAATTACCTGCGTTCAATTCAATGATTATTGCATTGGTGCCTAAATGTCCGAATCCCAGTAGCATTAAGGAGTATAGGCCTATGTCATGTTGTTTAACAATATACAAATGCATTACCATGATTTTGGCAAGTAGGCTAAAAAGACATCTACCTGGGATAATCAGCCATAGCCAAAGTGCTTTTATAAAAGGGAGAAGCATTACAGATAATGTTTTAATGGCTCAAGAAATGGTTAGAGGATATAGCAGAACTAGCTTGTCCCCAAGATGTGTTATCAAGATAGATCTTCAAAAAGCTTTTGATTCACTGGATAGGAGATTTATTCAGGCAGTTTTGCATGCCATTGGACTTCCACCACAATTCATAGGATGGATCAAAGGGTGTATAACTATGCCACGGTACTCTTTATCATTTTATGGTGGACTGGTTGGATATTTCCAAGGAACTCGAGGAGTAAGGCAAGGAGATCCCCTATCGCCTTATCTGTTTGATTTGGCAATTAATGTGCTCTCAAGGCTCCTTGATGTAGCAGCTGTACATGGAGTCTTCAACTATCATCCAAAGTGCAGGAAGATCAAATCGACAAACTTATGCTTTGCAGATGATCTCTTAATCTTTGCAAAGGGTAATTTGGATTCTGTTCTTAGGATTAAGGGAATATTGGAGGCTTTCTATTCCATATCAGGTCTTCAGCCTAACTGTGCCAAGAGTGAGTTCTATCATACTAGAATAAGCAGAGAAGAGATCCTCATAATGCAACAGGCTACTGGATTCAAGATTGGCTTGCTTCCAGTTAGATATTTGAGGGTACCGCTTGTAACCAGAAGACTTACTGAAATGGATTGCAGGCCACTACTTGAGAAGATTATTGCAAAGATCAAGAGCTGGATGGCTAGGCATTTATCTTATGCTGGCAGACTACAACTTATTCAATCAGTTTTGTTTAGTACGAAAAATTACTGGTGTAGGCATTTCATTCTTCCTAAGCATGTGATCAAGAAGACTGTTATGTTCAGAATTTTTTTGGAAAGGAAAAGAAGGTTCGACTAGGGGTGCTAGAGTCAGCTGGAAAGCCATATGCTTCCCAAAGTCTAAAGGAGGGCTAGGAATCAAAGATTTGATATCCTAGAATCGGGCTTGCATTTTAAAGAATATCTGGGTCAATCATCACCAAAGCTAGTTCATTATGGATAGCATAGCTAGAAGAATATGTGCTTAAGGGGAGAAGTATATGGCAGGTTTTAGCGAAGCTGAACAGTAGCTGGAATTGGAGGAAAATTCTTCAACTTAGACAAATGGCGCAAAAGTTTGTCAAATAGGAGAATGGAGTTGAGATTTGGCCAAATCAAAGGAATTCCTATTCGGCAGCACTCGTGTGGGAGGAAATTAGGCCAAAACAAGAGAAGGTAGAGTGGCACAAACTTCTATGGTTCAAATACCATATTCCAAAACACTCATTGATAGCTTGGATGGCCATACTTAACAGACTCCCTACTGCAGATAGGCTAAGAACTTGGGTAATAGAGGTTGAAGGAACATGCTGTTTGTGCAAGTGTGTAGAGGAGTCTAGGGATCATGTTTTCTTTGGATGTGACTTAGAAAAAGAAGTTTGGCAGAAGGTTCTTCAGCAATGTAGAATCAGCAGGGGAGTAGGGACTTGGGTTACAGAGTTAAGATGGGTAGAAAAGAGGCTGAAAGGGAGAGCATTGATTTCTATTGTAGTACGATTAGCATGGAATGTGTACATATATATGATATGGAGGGAAAGGAATAATCGACTGTTTAAGCAAATGGAAGAGACCTCAGTGCAAGTGATGGATCGAATCAAAGATGCTACTAGAACTAGACTTCATTGGCTTAATAGGATTGCTATGGACATTATTAATAAAGACCTTTGTGATGCATGGAGCCTTAATACTATTATGTTAGAATAGGGTGATACTAGAATTTATTCTTTGACTATTTGTAAAGTAATAAATTGTTGCTCACTGTAACAGATCACTGTTAGCTTGGATGAATGAAATTTCAGGTTTATGAAAAAAAATTAAGTTTTTACAAAATAAATACAGATACTAATTTATCAATTAATCATTTAAAAAGAAAATATATACAAATTTTAGTATTCACAAGTATTAACTGTTAAATAAATTAATATTAATAAAAAAGTAAAATATGAAAGTTACTACTAATGGTTTGAAAATAAACATTTAAAAATAATATATAAATCAAACTTTTAAACTTTGCATATTTTTTGATCACTGAATTTAATTAAAATGAAAAGAATAAAGTCCATAAGATAATTATAATATTAATTTGAATCTTTTTATATTCTAATAACCATTGAATTCAAATAAAATGATAAAATACAAAAAGAGACAAAACTATATTATATTAATTTCTATCTTTTTATATTTCATTAATTAATGATTTTAAAATCAATCTGTGAAAAGAAAAAAAAATCAATCAACTTCAATAGAAAAACTTTCATAGTTTGCTTATCAGCTAATCTAATTAAAATGATAAGAGGAAGAAAAATCATAAAATATTATTAATTTTTTTTTATATTTCATAAATTAATAATCAGTAACTTTTGATCTTCTTAATATATATATGTGTATATGTATATATGAAAGAGAACGGAGATTTTGTTCCACTCGGATTTCATTTTTCATTTTCTTTTGCAAGTTTCATGGCATTCCCATAGTTGAAAACGAGGTTAGTTTATATTTCTTCAATATGATTCTTATTTTATTTTTTTAAAATTCACTTACTTTTTTATTTTTAATTTTTATTCTAATGAAGTAGATTATTCAATAAAACTTTTTAAAATTTATAAAACTATTAGTATATATATATATATAAATCTTTATGTGTGTATTTATTTATTTAAATATTTTTTTAAAAAATAAAAATTAATCATGCAACAAGACCTTATTGGTATATTTTTTATTGAGAAATAGTTATTAGTGTTTTTTAATCACAATGTAGAGAATAATTAAGTGTAAATTAACAGATTATAATCCATGTTCGTTATAATTTATTGGAGGAAGATATCTATATGAAAAACATATATAATAAGGTTTATTATAATATTAAACTTCATGTATTTGAACTTTTTTCATCTGTAAGTGCATACACGGTGAGAAGCATTCAAAATTTCCTTTATTGTTGGTTTCTTCGCCGAGCAGCCATATTATCCAATCACCCACATTCTGTCACCATCAAGACTCCATGACTAAATGTTCTTCGATTTCCCAAGTAAGAAGATTATTATGTTACAACTGTGAATTCAAATCATTTGAGTGGAGAATTCAGTGCCCCCATTGCTCCTTTGTAAATCCGCCTCTGAATTGTAAAAGAGTGACGATTAGGTAAAATATTATTGAAATTGGAACTTGAACTGAAGCAGCCCGATTAAGTCTTAACAACTTAGGTTTAATTTTCTGCAAATGCAAAGTTTCAATATTTTTTGGAAAAGGAATTGGTAAATTTTTATTTGAAGCAAAATTTAAATAAAGAATGGCATGTACAATCCTGGCCAATTGAGTAGCCCAACCAGAGCTCTTCATCGGCGAAAAATCGGTCTATCTAAGTTTTCCTATGCATTTACAACGGAAAAAATCATTACAATGGAAAGAAGGCAATAAAAGTACTTTTCTCTTCTTCTACCTCAACGTGATCCAGCTCCCGCAAACTGACCAATTGGGCGCCTGGTCACAAGCCAATTGACGAATCCGATCCAATGGTGATGAAACGTAACTTGGAGACGACGAAACAAGGCTTGAATTCTGTTGAAAATTCGATTGAGAAGAAGCTGTTGATTGAGTTGAAACCCAGTACGGAAAATCGAAAGGAAGTCTTGGTGATACTGAAAATTCTTCGAAAGAACATTTTGGAGATGTTGACGCTTCTTCTTCACATCGATTCATTGCAATCGTCTCATCATCGCCAGCCATAAATGGATGATCCAGGAGCATCTCAGCAGTCCATCTGTTCTTTGGATCCTTAACAAAGCACTTCCGAAGAAAATCTTTTCCTTGCTCAGATAACTCTGCAGGAATTGCAGGCAATTCATCACGAACACCAATTTTAATCAGTAAAGCCGCCACGTTTGTTCCTGGTTTGAAATTCCAGGCTGATTTCCCTGTAAACATCTCAACGACAGCACATCCAAGTGCCCAGATATCCACCGGTGAATCATACTCGTTTTCGTTCACTGACTCTGGTGCTATATTGAGAGGAGTTCCCCTGATTTCCAACCTCCATCGTTCTCCTCCTTCTTTCCCGTTTCTCTTCGCCAATCCAAAATCAGCTATCTTGACATCCCCATTGCCAAACAAAAGAATATTTTGAAGTTTAATATCACAATGAGCAAACCCTTTGGCATGAAGAAAGCGTAGCCCTTCAAGTATGGATCTTGCATATCGTCTAACATCGGATTCTACCAAGTTTCCACCGCTTTTCTTAACCTGATCAGCCAAGCTTCCTTTATTAGCATACTCCAAGAACAAATTATACAACTTCTCATCGTTCTCAACGGTATACTCGTCACCAAAACAACGGATGATTTGCGGGCAAAAACCAAGTTGATCAAGCACTTCCTTCTCGTTCTTGAGAGAATCAGAGTTGATATTTTCACAAGACTTGACCGCCATTGGAGGAGGACATTGTGAAAAGCCTTTTTTATTAGGTACTACCAAATTGACAGTACTAAAACTTCCACATCCAATCGTTTGCCCTCGAATCCACTGCATTGGAGACTCTAACTCTCCAACTTTCAACTAAAGAATCCAAGGTTTGTTTCCTCAGTTGGGTTTTGGAAGAAATCGAAGCTTTTTAAAAAATTTTCTTTGACTTGTTTCTTCGGGAGAAAGAAAGGAACGCAAGAGGAGAAAACAGAGCTACAGTGGCTCAAAGTCCTTTTATATATAGGAGAAGCGTTTTTTTTTTTTTTTTTTTTAGTTGGGGTTTTATTATTGTAATAATTACCATTACACTTATTAGTATCTAAATACAACATTTTAATTATTTTGTGTTAATACTTATAAATATTTGTTACCAAATTATATTATTTTTGTTAGTTTAAATAAAATAATGAATAATATACGCTTACACAATTGTGTTATTAAATGGTTTAATTTAGGTTTATATTTGATGTGTTGTTAGTGTATGAATTTATAAATTATCAGCAAATCAAATAATGTTATTTTATTAATGAGGTGAATCTGAAAATAACATCTCATTAAGGAATAAATTTTTTAAAAAATAATAATTTTTATATTTTTATTTTAAAAATTGATATTTGCTCATTAATTAAGTGACATAATTTTATTTACTGTCAGTATATAAGATCTATACACTAACAATATATTAAATATAAATTAGATTTTCAAAATGGTATTATTATTTAAGATTACTATTACATTTATTATTATAAAATTAGAATTTTTTTAAATTTTAATAGTAAAAAAGAAATTACAACTTTTTGTTGCCTTAATAATATTTGCTTGTGACAAAATTAACATTTTTTAATTTATAGTGGATAACTCATAAGTAGTATCACTATGTATGTTTTTACACTTATTTACTATCAAATTACTTAAGTATTTATACTTTACACATAAGATTATTATTTTAAGACACAAAATAATTAATGAATTTATATTTTTATTTTGGTATAGAATGGTGTGTTAAGTTTTCATATATAATTTGAAAAAAAAAATTATAAAGTTAATATACATTGATTAAAGGAAAATAGCATCCTGGATCCATTATTTTCTAAGTTGAAACTGTCTATAATTTTGTTGCTTATATATTAAAAGTTACTTATTGATCATTATACTTTTATTGTATAATAATTGAAAGATTCTTCTTTCGCTTTGTCCACCTATATGTGACATTAAGATTATTATTTATACTTTACAAAGAATATTCTTTAAACAAACAATTAATGAATTTAATTTTTTTACATATTGTTGGACTTGTGTTTATAATAATAATAATAATAATAATAATAATAATAATAATAATAATAATAATAATAATAATAATAATGAAAATTATACAAATATATATAATTTTTAATATAAAAGAATTATGAAGTTAATATATATTGATTAAGGGTAAATAACATTTGCAGCCCTCAAAGTATAGATGATTATAACTTTTTAAATTATGAAAAACAAAGCAATTTAATACTAAAAATTGAGATGATAATAGAAAATAAAACATCAATAAGTAAAAGAAAATTATAAAAATTTCGCTTAAAAACCTTTTTTTAATAAATTCAAACTTGCATCATAACTAATAATCTATAACATATATTTTTATTTAGATAAAATCTTTAAGATTAATAAAACAAAAAATTCATAAGAAGTTATCAATGGCCACTCTACGCCATTTAGATACAGTGATTTTTTTTCTTTTGTGTCCTTATAACCTATTTATAGTATTACGATTTTATTGTAATTGATTTTATATATCTTGTAGTCGAAAAATTTATAGGTCTAATTAGTTTTTTACATGATTAAATTTAAAATTTATTTGGATTTTTTATTTTAATAATGAATTCAAGGATAAAAAAATAAAAATTGACAATTAATGAAAATTTACTTTAATAAAAACTTCAATGTTGATAAAAATTTAGTCAATATTTTAATTTAATAAAACAATCATCAAAATAATTAATTTATGAAATATATATGAAGCAGATAGAGTCTTCTTATTTCTTAATGTTATATAGGCTTGGCAACAGTGGCGGCTCCACGTTCAAACCAGAGGGGGCCACAAAGACTTTTAAAGCCTTCTACTACATATTGACATAATATATATAATTTATAAGGGTCATTTTGAAAAATTAAAAATGGCTCTATGGAAAAAGTAAAAAGTTATTCCTTGTGATTATAAATGTTTAGAATCTTTAAATTTTAGGTTCAAATTATATTATATGTGGATTTATTTTAATTTTATGTTAGACTTATCTAATTATTTTCTAATTTATTGATTAATTTAATTGTTTGATTATTCAATTATTTAATACTTAATTATATTATAATTTGTACTTATAATTAAAAAAAACTTTTAAGACAAAAAAAATTCAGTTCTCAAATTCTAATTAATTTGTAAGAAGTATTAACATTTATAGTTTAGTTTTCAAAAAAAATAAATGTATTTGTTAAATATAACCTACATTAAAAACTTAAAACTATTCAAAAAACTTTAACAAAAAAATAAAAAAATGTTAGATTAATAGAAAGAGAGACAAATCTTATTCCCTAAAGCCTGAACCTAGTACTAAGTCTTGTTCCTTAAAAGCTTGAACCCAATGCCAAGTCGCTATAATTATTGAAAAGAAGATGCATTTATGTTTTCTTAGAGAGCCAATTACAATAACGGTACAAAGGGCAATTATAATTTTTTTTTTTTTTTTATGATAAGACTACTGCATCTTTGTCTTTTAATTTTGAAGTCATTAATAGTAAATTATAAGTTCTTTTTAATTTTAAATTTGAGAAAATTACTAATATTTATTGAAAGAAAATCTTAATCTTGTTATATACATTGAGAGAAAAATTATTAAAACTTTTTAGTCTAATGATTTTCTTTTTGTGAAAAATTGTCATATATAATATATGTTAAATAAAATCATTTGAGTTTCTTTTATTTTAAATTGTTATACATATTTTATTTCAATATTTGAATTTTTTATGTATCTTATTTATGGTTACATTATGGAATGACATATTTTATTTAAAATTTTTATAATTTTCCATAAAATAATAACATATTATTTATTAAATAAAAAATTTCAAATTAAAGTTATTATTTAGTTTGGTCTCTCTAATTTGAAATTCTTAATCCCCGGGCAAGATCACCCAAGAGAATGTTATAATTCAATGAAACATTTTAAAGCATAAATAAATTACCCAATTAACTAATTTGAACCAAAGGAAACGCCAGTGAGGATTGATGCACAGGACTACTGCAAACACCAATAGTACTACAGCATATGAAGCACCAAAAGTCCAGCCAAATGCCGCCATATCAATTACAGTGCCATTCTTTTCCCCTTCAAAGAGCCCTGGTGTTGGGGGCACTTCCAAGCTGTTACAACTCTTCCCAACAAAGACCAGATTCCCTTCATAACTGCTCCAATCGAATGTTGCAAACTGACCTTTGTCAGGAGTCACCCCGGACAAGTTGTTGTAGGACACATTGAATGTGGATAGAAAATTTAGCTCGGTCAATTGACAAGGAATTTGGCCACTCAAGTTGTTGCTTGATAGGTCCAGGCTTTCTATTTGTTTGAGGCCAAAAAGGCTCCCGGGTGTTGATCCGGACAACCTGTTATTGGACAGATTCAACGCATGAAGATTCTTTAGCTCTCCAATTTGTGTTGGAATCTCACCACTCAACTCGTTGCACGACAAATCTAGTCCAAACATGTAACGAAGAATGTTACCCTGGTAAGAATTGTTCCTAATTTTTTGTCTGAATTCTGCTTCTGCTTGTTGATATGGCGAGAATTTGTGGGATAAGCTTGAAGGTATTTATGCTTCGAAGTCATTGACTAATAGATTATTGAGTTAAAAGATGAAGAGAAGGCTTTAATTTTGCTGTCATCTTTGCCCAAGTTTAGACTGTGTTGGTGGGCAGATAAGGTTTATGGGAGCTCAGAACTCATCACCTGGGGGGAGTACACTAGCTGAAGAGGGTTTTGATCGAGGGAGGACTCAAAAGATGATTGATGGTTTAGACTGTGTTGGTGGGCAGGTCTACTTTGAAGTTAGATGATGTGATTGCCCTGTTGCGTGAGAATGAAAGGTTTATGGGAGCTCAGAACTCATCACCTGGGGGGAGTATACTAGCTGTAGATGGTTTTGATCGAGGGAGGACTCAAAAGAGGATTGATGGATCAAGATGGAGATCCAAGTCAAGAGACAGAGATTACAGTGATGTAGAATGTTATTATTGTGGGAATAGGGTCAATCACTTGTACATGTTTGATGAAGGCTCAATTGCTGAGATGTCTGTGATGAAAGAAACGAAGAAAGGTAAGCGTGTTAGCTTTACAGATACTGTTGAAGTGTTTGGAGATTCAAGTCAAGGGAGGATTTGTTGGGATTTGCCTTGAATCTCAGAATCCCTAAGTTTGAATTTGTCTTGTATCCCACATCGGGAGTTTAGTAAAGGTATAAAGGGTTTCACCCCTATAAATAAGATGTTTTGGTTTTAGTTTAGTAACCCCAGAGAGTTAGACACCAAGAGAATAGCTAAGTGAGTAGGCTATTAAATGGTGTAATTTGGTTTTGGGTTAAGTTTTGAGTAAGGAGTTTTAGGAGACTTTTCTTATTTTAAAAGTCTCACAATTGTAAAGTTACACTGGGTTTTGGGTTAAGTTTTGAGTAAAGAATTTTAGGAGACTTTTCTCATTCTAAAAGTCTCACAATTGTAAAGATTTATTTGTTAGTGGATTAGGTTTGGAGTAGGCCATTTTGAGTTGAGCCGAACCAAATATATTTGTGTGTTCTTATTCTTGATTTGTAATTTTTCAATTCATTGAGTTTACCATATTCTTGAATCTCCTGATATTCTTTGGAATTGCTTATGTAGGATAGTTTTTTCCAAAGATCATACCAATATTCTTTGGGAGTTGACCTGAAAATCTGTTGTCTGCAATCTCCAGACTAAACAAATCATGTGTAGGATTGGGTAACCGCAGGCTTCCTTGGAACGAGTTTTTCATTAAATTGGTAACTTCTAACTTTGAGTTATTCTGAAGCAACCAAGTGGGAACATTCCAATCAAGTTGTTGAAAGAGAGATCAATGTATCTCAAGTCAT